AGAAGTCTTTCTTTATTGGAAATATTTTCACTATAAACTCATTTAAAGGGCAGGAGAGATAGTACAATGTGTAGGGCACTTGTCATTTCCTACAGGATTTTCTATATTTTCTTCCACATTAATAGATAAGAAAAAGTGGGGCTGGAGCAATAGCACAGCAGGTAGGGCGTTTGCCTTGCATGCAGCCTGACCTGGGTTAAATTCCCAGCATCTGATATGATCTCCTGAGCACGGCCAGGAATAATTCCTGAATGCATGAACCAGGAGTAACCCCTGTGCATTTCTGGGTGTGACCCAAAAAGCAAAAAAAAAAAAAAAGATAATAAAAAGATAAAGATATATTTTATATCTACCTACTTTACCATTTCTGATAACTTTTATACTTTGAATAGATAATTATTTTCATTCATATCACATGCCTTTATATAAAAGTGTTTTTTACATGTCCTATAATAGTCTACAAGTGACAATTTTTTTTGGGTTTTACCAGTATAAGGATATATATTATCTTTGTTTACAACAGTTTTTTTTCTTGTATATAAAATTCTAAATTCATGACTTTTTCTTTCAGTAGTTGATACTGCTTTTAAGCAACTAAAAACGATGCACTTTTATCTTCTCTCCTCTACAGTACTTTTTCCTACCCACATCATCTGGCTGGATTAAACTATTCTCTAAGTTGTATTTTAAGCAATTGAAATATATATTTTGGTGTAATTTACTCATATTCTTTTTGCTCTAAACGTCACTCTAGTTTACAGGATAACAGTTTTAATCAAATTTGGAAAACCCAAAATCATTAATTCTTTAAATATATTTTATGTCTCCAACTCTGGGATTCTTGGTGAACCTGATAGTCTGCTTGAGGGCCAAAGTGATAGTATAGCAGAGAAGGCATTTCCCTTGCATGCAGCTGACCTGAGATCAATACCCAGCAACCCATATGGTCCCTGAAATCCCATCCAGGAATGATGCCTGAGCACAGAGCCAGAAGTAAGCCCTGAGTACCTGTGGGTGTGGCTCATAAAACAAGACAACAAAATGCCAGACTGCTTGAATATACAGCAGTTTGCTAATATTCTGCTCAGTTTTGATATTTTATGTGAGTATTTCACTCTGCCATGTCTTTAAATTCACTATTCTTTTCTTTTGCGGTATCAAATTATCTTTAATTTATCCAGTTCCAATGGAAGACACTTTTTTTTTTAGAAAGTCTACTTGTGTTTTCCAACTCTTTCATGTCTTTCCTCAGTATGCCTATGTTCTCATCTATCTTCTAGAACATGTGGAGTCAATATAATATTTGTTCTAATATATTCTTATTTGGGCTGGAGCGATAGCACAGCGGTAGGGCGTTCGCCTTACAAGCGGCCAACATAGCCAACCCGAGTTTGATTCCTCCGCCCCTCTCGGAGAGCCCGGCAAGCTATTGGTATTCAATATGCAAAACACAGTAACAACAAAGTCTCCAATGGAGACGTTACTGGGCCCGCTCGAGCAAATCGACGATCAACGGGAGGGCCTTTACCTTTTATATTCTTATTTAGTAATTATGTCTATGAATCTGCTTACTGAATTTCACAAATCTATCTTTACTGAATTTCATTTGAATGCTAGCCATTATGTAATTTATTATATGATTTAAAATGTCCTTGAATCTCTTTTCTGAGATGCAGTTACTGTGAAACAGTTCAAAATTTTCAAGACTCACTTTTAAGCTCTGATAGGTTAGCTACAGCTAATTTCTAGAGTAGTACATCCCAGGTCCAACTGTATTCTTCTTGAATCCTGTGAAACGGAGGATTCTCCACTCAAACGGGAATATCAACTCTTCTGTCTTGTGTGTGCTTTGGGTATTTTCCTCTGTTCCTTTCCAAAGGTTTCCTCTTCCCTCCACCACCCCACCCCCCCCCCCAAAAAAAAGTCACTCATGCTGTAGTAGGTATTAAACTTAAGACGCAAGCTGAGCAGCTCTATGCAAACTTTAAAACTTTCAATCCTGGGCAGTTCTTGATTCACTGCTGACTTGCCTTAAAAAACTAGATATTTTGACTTTTCTGATTTCCCAATTCTCAACTCTACGAAGACAGCTGGTCTTGTACTTCAGAACTCCCTTTATGTACTGATACCTGACAAAAATCACCAGGTCATAAACTAAAGCATTTCATGAGTGTACTTCACCTGTTTCCATTCCCTAGAGAATCTGTGCTCTGCACAACCTGCCAACTCATTTCTAGAAATTGTTGTTTCACAAATGGTCAAAGGCAAGAATGAGAGAGATGGTCAACAAAGCTGAGATTTCAGGGGTGGGACACTGGAGGGAAGTGGACCCTCGAAGGTGGGTGTTCTGATGGGATGGTGTGTGTCTGTACTATCACAGTATTCTAAATCATGGCATGTCAAAATAAACTTAAAAAAAAAAAACTGCAGGGGTTGGAGCAATAGTACAGCAGATAGTGCATTTGCTATGCACACAGTCGACCCCAAGTTTGATTCCCATTATCCCGTATGGTCCCCCAAGCACTGCCAGGAGTAATTCCTGAGTGCAGAGCCAGGAGTAACCCTTGTGCATCGCCAGGTGTGACCCAAAAAGAAAAAATAAAATTAAAACTGCTGTTTCATGTAGATTTCCAGTGTAATATTTAAGTTGCAAGGATAAATCCAATTGCAAGGATGATTCTATAATGGCCTGTCAATACCCTATTTAAATTGCTCGAGCGGGCCCAGTAACATCTCCATTGGAGATTTTGTTGTTACTGTGTTTGGCATATCGAATACATCACGGGGAGCTTGCTAGGCTCTGCCGTGCGGGCGAGATACTCTCGGTGGCTTGCCAGGCTCTCCGAGAGGGGCGGAGGAATCGAACTCGGGTCGGCCATGTTGGCCGCTTGTAAGGCAAATGCCCTACCGCTGTGCTATCGCTCCAGCCCGAGCTATTTAAATTACAGAAAGAAAATAAAAGTTCATTTCTAACAATTTTTAAACTTTAATGTAAAAGAAAACAGGTCTGTAGGTCAAATCTTCCAGAGAAATAACAGAAGTCATTTATTAAAACCTTTTTTTACATTATTTTAATATTATACATAATCCTGATTAGTGAATGAAATAATGTGTACTAATTGATAAGCTTAGGAAAAAGTAAGCAACTATGGAACAAGAAAATTCTCTTTCAGTCATTCTTACAATCATATGCAAACATTTCAAAAGTTACCAAATTGTTGCTATAACTCCTTGTAATTTCTAGTCTGAGTTACTGAAAACATAGTTTTGAAAACCCAACATATTTTCTCTTAAAAACAATCAAGTAAGTAAATACACTGATGTATTTCCTAAATTTAGTTTTAACCAATGAATTAGGTAACAAAAATATTCCCAGTATACAAACTAAGGTCATCACCATCTCACACTTAAATAACTCAGTTTCACGGAAAAGATCTTATTCTAAGTCTGGGTCAGAAATAAATGAAACTATTAGGTATCCTTTGCTATAGCACAGAGAAAGAAAACTACCTAAGACTATTACCAACAAAGCACTCAAAATCCAATCAGAGGAAGTTCAATAATCATAAACCAGATAATTTAAAAACTAGGATTATAACTTAAAAGAACTGGAGCATATCAACTCAGAATTTAGTGAAAAGCTAAAATTAAGAATAAATTTGTCCTCACTGAGATTACTGTAGAATAAACTCTGAAATTTAAACCCTAAAATTAAAAAAAAAGTATTTATCATATCTTTTTTATATGAACTGAACTACAGCAAAACAAAATGGTAAATAGTAAATTCCTATTTTACTGAAGAGCCAACATCATTTATGAAGTACTCTTGCTAAAAATAAAAAGTACAACTGGTCAATTCTCAATAAATTATACAATTCATAGGCCATTAGAGGGTAAAATACACTATTAAACAATAAAAATGCAATCAGGGATTAATCTTGGCTGAATCATCACAGGCAGGTTCAGTCTCAAGGTCAAGCTCTCTGGAGCCTTATCAGTAACTGGGGTAGGCCAAGTACCCACCCTGCCAAGAGGGACGAGGCCCCCACACACATCCACATGGCTTACAAACATCCATCTTCCCCACTAATCTCAGAGAAACACCAAGCTGCTGAATCATCACAACTCCTGGAGTGTGTAGGCACAAAGGAGGCCACACAGCACCTACAAATTTCACAGTACTGACACCGTTGTAGGAGCACAGGGAAATGACATGGGAAAGTTGCATAGAAGCATACTAAGCTAATGAGCGAAAACAAAATCACAGAAGGCTCAACCTCACAGCTCAGTAAATCCTTATACAATGACTTTAGTCACACCATTCATTATGAGATATATGTTGTAACAAGAAAATAAAAAGTAAATTATTTTGAGCCCGCTAAGGGGGCAGGGCTTGAGGGCTGAGGAGGAAACTGGAGATAATGGTAGAAAGAAGGTCACATTCACATTGGCGTCGGAACAATCAATACCTAAAACAACTATATCATAAACAACTTTGTAAATCACAGTTTTTACATAAAGTTTCAAACATCAGAAAAAAGAGATGACATCAGAAAGCCCTAGTCTTCGAAATACACTATCTTAAACAAAAAATGGCAAAAAAGAAGAAATGATGTCAGGAAGAAAGCAAAGTGACAGGAGAGGTCTAAAGTTTAAAAGAGACAAGAGATCAATCAATCAATATTTGGATAATAAACTGTAACAGTCAACAAATTACCACATGTATAAAATAAACAGAAAAACCTATTAACTTGAATGTAAATAGAAAAAATAGAAAAAGTAACAGTACCTTCATAGTACCTGGTGTAGGAGAAATCAGATGGCGAAAGTCACATGGATGGAAAAAAGATTTTTTCTATCTTTGAGTAATAAGAATATAAAATCTATATATTTTTGAGTGCGTTAATGAAGTTACAACTAACACTACCAATTAAATTCTTAGAAAAGCTATTCTGAACTAGAGAAATGACAAAGCTTTTGATCTACAAAAATGTTATTACCTCATCATATGTATATCTGTAGTCTGCTTTCTTTGATTTGAGGTCCCATAACACTACTGTTCCAGATTCAAAGCCAATCAAAAGCTGCAATAAGAGAAAATAACACGTTACCTAGAATACTAATGATATAAAAAAGTTGTTGACACACACACAAAACTATCAGTTACATGCTTCAAGCACGAAATTATACTGAAATATCTGCATTGTTAACTAACCACATAAATGACAAATGAGAATCGTGCATTACATGTGTATGCCTTGGAGGATTAGGAACTCAAATTGAATCTTAAAAAGAAAAGAATACCATTTAGAAGTCCTTAGTACTCATTCTTATTAACATGGTAAATTATTAATAAATATCATTCACAAATGATTTACAGTCTACAAACTTTCCTAATCCAACACGCTATCATTTATATATTAACTGGTTCCAAACTACACCCAGCCTAGCTGCAGTTCACAAGATTCAGATTCATACTTATAGTACTGAGTTTCTTATTTTCACTTCTATATTCGCTGCAAATCACATATTAAGCTGCTCATCCAAAACATTGGGTTCATCTTTAACTCTAGTCTCTTCTCTGACAAGAAAAGTCAGCAAGAAATTGTTTAATTATCTCAGTATCTACCCAATTTACTCTCCCTCCCTTTCGTAACTGTTTTTCCTCAGTACAATGACATGAAGAGTTATCTGATCTCCACTTGTCACTCTGACAATATGCCTCTAATACATTTTTTTTTTTTGCTTTTTGGGTCACACAGGCGATGCTCAGGGGTTACTCCTGGCTCATGCACTCAGGAATTACTCCTGGCGGTGCTCGGGGGACCATATGGGATGCTGGGAATCGAACCTGGGTTAGCCATGTTGACAGCGTGCAAGGCAAACACCCTACCCGCTGTGCTATCACTCCAGCCCCTCCAATACATTTTTGTTTGCTTGTTTGTTTTTGCTTTTTTGGTCACACCTGGCGATGCTCAGGAGTTACTCCTGGCTCTACACTCAGGAATTACTCCTAGCGGTGCTCGGGGACCATATGGGATGCTGGGAATCGAACCTGGTTTCGTTGCATGCAAGGCAAACACCTTACCTGCTGTGCTATTGCTCCAGCCCCTCCAATACATTCTTACTCTCTTGCTTTTGAGTCTGTTTCTGACATCTCCAACCTAGGACATTCCATTCAAATGCCATCTATTTTTGCTTGACTAATTCTCTGAACCTTTGCAATTTTTTAGGTCATTTCCTCCAGGAAGCCTTCCAGGACTAATATAAGTTAAAACCCTTCCTATGTACCCAACAGCACTCCTTCCTTTTATTTCTTAATCTGCAGGGTCATGAGGCATGGTAAAAAGGTTTTTTTTCCCCTTATCTGAATTCTCATGGAGACTGGTTTTAACACTGGTTATTTTCGACAAGGTATGTTTTATTTTATTCAACACTGGATCTCAAATATAAGGCATATCTTATGAGCAGCTTGTAAACTTTATGTTGTGGATGAATAAATTCCTGAATGGCATGCATGTATCTGCCTGAAAAACAATCACTGCCTATTCAACCTCTGCTGCCACGATTCCTTCATTCTGGAATTTTTCAAATCTAACTAGTTCCTCTGTTTGAAACCTCTGCAGCCCTCGATTCTTTACTCGCCACTCTTATACTCATTTTTAAGTCTCAATTTAGTGCTGCCTCCTTGACTGAGCCTAGCTTCCACCTTTAGGCCAATTAAGATGCTTGTTATCACGACTACAAACATTATCTGTATCTTCAGTATTTAATATACTGCCCCATGCTGTCCACTGTCCTGTCCTGTCAATGTCCTCCCGTTGTTCATCAATTTGCTCGAGCGGGCACCAGTAACATCTCCATTGTGAGACTTGTTGTTACTGTGTTTGGCATATCAAATACGCCACAGGGAGCTTGCCAGGCTCTGCCCCATACATAGGCGATAATAACCACTTGTTAAATAAATATATAAACAATTATGCACTCTGTAACTGTTCATGAATGTGCAGATATAAATAAGAACTGAGGCAAACTTGTAATTTTAATGAAACAGCAATTTAATGAATTTCAGATGCCAGGAGTTTCTAGAGGTATCAGTCACCAACACTAACAAGATAGGTTTTCCCACCTTGATAGAAACTGATTTTCCTAACCCTGATTTTTGTTTTCAAGGCATTGTGAGATATACTTCTTGTAACTAAAATCTGATTTTATTTCATTTTGTTTGGGGGTAACACCTGAAAATGTGGTCAGGATCCACTCCTGACTCCGTACTCAAAAAAATCACTCTGCTCAGGGAACCACAAGGAGCCACAGGAAATCACTCTGCTGGAGGGAACTGCATGGAGTTCTAAGAATCATTTTCTTGAGGGAACTACATGGAGTGCTGGGAATCACTCTGCTCAGTGAACGACATGGAGTTCTAGGAATTATATTCAGATCAGCCATGTGCAAGTGCCCTGCACCATCCCTGCAAATTATACTCTCTCCAGCCCCAAATTCCTTGTTTTGTTTCCTTTTCCTAGTACATGCAAACATATTGGATATTACCGGTGTTTTCTGATTGAGGGATGTAAATAGAAACATAAGGAATGAGATGAACAAGAATAAAAGTTAAGAACTGGTTTACAATGTAATCCGCACTAAACTGTCCAGAACACAGCTAACCTAAACTCTAGTGTTAGATCTGCTACTCTGTCTGCTTCAACCTAAGTTGAAGGGAATAATTTTATCCATAGAGACCTACATTAGAGAGTTAAAGCGAACTTTTACCACTCTAGTCAGCTACAACATTCTACAGCTTTTAGAAACCTGTGCCCACAAGAATCAACTTAAAGACATGGTCCTTCAACTTAATTATATCAATTCTTCTTAGTAGTAGTTTTTTTTTCTACTCAAAGATCCTAATGTATGTATTATTGATCAGTCCTTTTAATTTTTTCCCATAATGAATATGAATGTAGTTCTTTACCACACATCAATAAATAATCTATATCCTAGACAAAAAAATATAACCTAAAACAGAGTACCCTGGGATTGAAATCAGAGAAATTCAATAATCAAAACTCCAGCTCCACAAACATCTAATTTTGTAAACACAGGAACATATAATTCACCCAGTCTTTGCCTCATCATCAAGAAAACAAGGAAAATGCCATCTATTCCCTTGTTGTGTTGCCTTAAATACCTCAGGTGAGCGAGATGTTCTGGCATTGGTCTTCTGCCTCTGACTTAACATAACACCCTCCAGTTTCATACAGTGAAATACAAGACTGCACTTCTTCTTAGAGCTGCATAGTAGCCCATAATGTATATACAACACAGCTATTTGTATGCACTCATCTGTTGTTGGACAATAAACGTGCTTCCATATCTTAGTATCACACTAAGCATTACAGTGTATAAGTGTGTATACATCACTTGGAATTGATGTTTCTGTGTTTCTTGAAAAATGTACCAAGAAGTGGGATTGTTCTTGGCAAGTATCACGTAGACTCTCTATTCTTAATTTTGTAAGATGTCTCCATACTGTTTTCCACAGGAGCTGAACCAGATGACATTCCCACTGAGTGAAAGAAGGTTCCTTTTTCACCATATCCCTGTCAGCACTGACCAGTGGCTTCTAGTCCTTTTGACAGACACCATTTCCAACGGTGTGAGGGGATATCTCATTGTTGTTTTTTATTTGCATTTCCCTGATAATAAGTGATGGATACTATTTAAAAATAAGCCTGCTGGATAACCTTATAACCTCTTGGAAGAGTCTGTTCATCATCTTTTGCCATTTTTTTGACGAGGTTGCCAATTCGTCTGTTGTGTTTTGTGCATCGAAGACACGGATTTTAGACAAGTTATCTCGTATCACAGAATATAAAGTGGAGAGATAGTACAAGGATCAAAGCACAGGCCTTGCAGGATGTTCACCCCTGTTTTTTCATTAAGGCAGAATCAATACATTTTCATTTAAGTTTTTATTTGTAAACAAGTTCAGCATATCATTTTGTCCTCACGAGATACCAAATTTTAAAAAAAACTGCATTTCACAGTTATTTAGTTACATAGTTACATGTTTACATTCTCATATACTTTTCAAATTTTTCTTCTTTAAATTATTAATTATACCACTGACTACCTTACACCAGTGATTTTTTTCCCCACGTCTCTCGCTCGCCTTTCTCATACATGGACAAAGACAATGGTCTGAATAACCCTTTATCTTTCCATTGCAGGCACAGCAGACTTTTTTTTTCGGGGGGGGGGGGGTGATAAATATGATCATGTCACTCCCCTTTATAACATACATAAGTGGTCTTATAGGATAAAAACCTATAACATATAAACCAATAAACATATAACCCTATAACATATAAAACCCTCTAAGTTAGGTCCCTAGATGGCCCGATCTGATTCACTATTCTCTTCCCCTTAATCTCTAACACCCCTGCTCATGGTGCCTCAAAGTGTGATCTTGGCACACACTTTGCTGCTTCCTGCCTCCCAGATTTCACCTGTGCACAGGTTCTCTCTCCTAGGAATGTTCTATCATTTGTGCTCTTTTGCTTCTAACTAACTCCTCGCTCCCTTAATTCTTATTTATATTCGTGTCTCCCAAAAAGTCCTTTCTCAAATACCCCTGTTTATCTTTTGTTTGCTTTCCTTGAGAGTGGGGGCACACCTGACAGCACTCAGGGACCACTATCCACCCATGTTTGATCCCTGGCCCCACGTGGGCTCTTGAGCACTGCTGAGGGCAGCCCCGGAGGTCCAGCGCCCAGCACCGCCAGGTGTGACCATGGAGAGAGGCAACACAGCATCCAGAGCCTTGCACGGAACTGGCCTGGACGGCAGGGGATTACCAGGAGATGTGCCAGGGTCCCCAGAGCCACTAGGAAGGTCCAGGAAAAGGGAAGAAAAAAAAACAAAGATCCAAGTTACTCTAACTTCAGGTAAAGTTTCTCTCAACCGTACAGCAGTTGGACTATAAATGATCTCCAATCAAGGCTACTCTTGTTTTCCCAATAGCAAGGAAGAGAAATGTCGTAAATGCATAGGCGTGATCATTTCCACTGAGGAAATGAAAACCCTAGGTAAACTCTGTCACAAAATCCACAAGCTTCACTTCACTGATTTCTGGTTGTAATAAATTATTAGGCAAATATCATAACGCTGTATAAGTAGAAAAATAAAATTAAAGCAAGTAATCTGGAAGACTTTAATATTAGCAAAGATTTACAGTAAGAAAAGTTTTATTTTTAAATATAGTCACAAACGTTAGACACAGACTGTGAAAGTAATTCATACCAAAAAAAATTAGTGTTATTTTAAAAAAAACTACATTAATTTGAGCTATCACTGAAATAAATTTAAGATGAGAAAGATAATTCTAACATAGAATACATTACCGTATTTTGAAAACTGTACAATTACAAGTATTAAAAAGAATGGGCACTGGTGGAGGGATGGGTGTTTGATCATTGTACAACTGAAAGCCAAGCACAAAAATTTGTAAATCTACAACTGTACCTCATGGTGTTTCACTAACAAAAATTAAAAAAAAAAAAAAAAGTAAATGATGAAGAATGGGCGCTGGTGGAGGGATGGGTACTGGATCATTGTATAGCTGAAACCCAAGCACAAAAATCTGTAAGTCTACAACTGTACCTCATGGTGTTTCACTAATAAAAATTAAAAAAATAATAATAAAAATAAATAAATAAAGCGAGTTTCTGACAGATTACCAGTGATCCAGAGGAAATAGTCTGAACATGTCAAAAATAAGTAACCTTTAATTTTATTTACTATGTTTTGCTTGTATTATGGGCTTTTATTCTTTGAAATTATAAATGAGGCAGGTGGCTCCAGGGAACTCAGAGGGGATGGGACAGGCTTGCAGGAATATGACCCTAAGCAGTCCTGGGCACTAGGCACAGTGCTGGTGGCCCCAGAGCACTGAGCCCAAGGAGCACTGTATCTCCTGATCTGAACAAGAAAGAGTCAGATCCACATGGTTGGGTTGCTGAAGCCGGGTGTAGTCCCAGTATATATATATTTATGTACACTTGTATATGCCTGTATATATATATGGGTATGTGAATATATAGCATATACACATGGAATAAAAAATTTACAAATAACTCAGATTCATTTACTTGTTCACTATACATAATTAATTAGGTATATAGTATACATAATGTAATATATATATACATAAATATATATGCTTTGCCAACTATCTTAAATTTACAAGATATATCATCAGAAAATAACTTGCCTATCTAAAAAGTCATGCATTTGGGGCAGGAGCAATAGCACAGCGGGTAGGGCATTTGCCTTGCATACGGCCAACCTGAGTTCGATCCCCGGCATCCCATATGGTCCCCTGAGCACCGCCAGGAGTGATTCCTGAGTGCAGAGCCAGGAATAACCCCTTAGCATCGCTTGGTGTGACCCATAAAGCAAAAAAAAAAAAACTAAAAAATAAAAAGCCATGCATTTAAGTAATAAAATCATGTTTTAGGGAAAAAAAACAAACAAACCCTACCTTTCCTTCATCCATCGGATTATCACTTATATGAACAACAGGACCTGGGTGAGACTTAGATGACCTAAGGAAGAAAAAATAATTTTGCTCAATGAAAATTTCAATACAATATTCCTTACAACAAGAGTAATTAACAGAAAATAATACTATCTTAAAAGGAGGAAAGCATTCCAATAAGTGATGAGTAACAGATATAGATGCATAACAGGAATCCCAGAAAGAAAGAGTGGCTCTCACATTGCTCGAGGCAGCAAGATTTACAATTAAGTATGCTCTCTGCAACAGGAAAGAATATTCTATTCTGCGTTTGATAAGAGAAAATCTGTTCTCATGGTAGAACACATATTTCATATTTTTAAGTAAAGTAGAATCTAGGCCACAGATTACAGTCAATTCTAGAATTTTACCTAGTTCCATAATTTACACCAAAAGTAGAAAAATTTTATTTTTAAAAGCACCAACAAAATACCTACACTTGTTTAGAGTGAAAAAAAAAAAAGAAGTGTTATAGATAAAACGAGGTCGAACAAATGCCTAATAGAACAGGAATCAGCAACCTCATCTCATTAACCAAAGGCATGGGTAGACAGCAGTCCACATGAGAGTGACATTGTGAAATCATGGTTATATCAAGACAGTAGTGGATTGACTACCATGATCAACTCAGAGAGTAGACCACAAAAACCCATGTTTTGTAGCAAGAGGCTGGGATACAATAACCGTATCCCAACCACAGGAAGGAAAAGAAGGCTTAATATACAATTACAGCTGTACCAACACATTATGAGCAAAGCCACAAATTTATTCATATGACATCATGATATAAAGATAAATCCTGTAGAGAGCAATAATGAAGTGACATCTCTTTAAAAATAAAAGTAAGTGTAGCAGAGATAGCTCAAAGGGGTCCAATATATGTCTCACTTCTGACAGCCCCAAGTTCATTCCTCATCAATACTTGGCCTTGTAATCACTAGCTGACTACCACCATTGACCCGAAGGTTCTGCAGCATGCGTGGGGAGCCCTCCCTTACACACAAACAAATAAAAACAAAAGCCAAAATGTTTTAAATTAATTTGACCAATATGATTCATTTTTAATTTTAGCATCTTTATGTCTCATAAAGAAAAGAACTTAAAGAGAAGATTGTCGAAAGTTCCTGAGGATCCTTATAGCTCAACCTATTTTTTGCGTGGCTAATTTTTAAATCAAACATTGTAGCACTGTAGCACTGTCCTCCTGTTGTTCATCGGCACCAGTAATGTCTCCATTGTGAGACTTGTTGTTATTGTTTTTGGCATACTGAATATGCCACCGGGAGCTTGCCAGGTTCTGCCGTGTGGGCAGGGTACTCTTGGTAGTTTGCCAGTCACTCCGAGAGGGACTGAGGAATCGAACCCGGGTCAACCATGTGCAAGGCAAACACCCTACCTGTTGTGCTATCGCTCCAGCCCAAATCAAACATTCTCATATATAATTAAGGAAAATTAATGGCAAAATTAATTCACATCAGGAAAATATTTATTAAACTATTTGTCAATTAATAAAATCAAATAGTTTGTTTTTCTTATTTTTGCTCTTTTGACTTTGGGAACACATCAGACGTGTCAGAATTCACTGTAGGATAACACTCAAGGATCATCCCTGGACATTGCATGGGCGTCCACATATGGTGCCAGGGATACACTTTACCTGCTGTACCAACCAGCTCACCAGTGTCAAGTAGAAATTTATTTATTTTGGTTTCGGGGCCACACCCTGCAGTACCAAAGCTTAATCCAGATTCTGTACTCAGGGATCACTCCTGGCAGGCTGGAGGAACGATCTGGAAGGTCACAGAAAATAGAAATACCAGGCAGGCCCAGGGAGATGCCAAGGCAGGAAAGTGCCCTATCCACTGTATTTTTGACCGTCGAATAGAGCAGTGTTTCCCAAATACTATGGCAACCCAATGAGGGGTTAAAAATGTTTAGTGAGTCACAATCAACATTTCTTTTTTTTTTTTCTGTAACATTTTATAATAATTTTATTTTCTTTTTTTTTATCATTTTTTTTATTAGTGAAACACCATGAAGTACACTTATAGACTTATAAATTTTTGTGCTTGGGTTTCAGTTATACAATGATCAAGTACCCATCCCTCCACCAGTGCCCATCCTCCCCCACCACGGGTCCTAGCATCCCTCCCACCCCCCATCCTCCCCCCCCCCCCCCCCCGGTCCCACCCTGCCGCTGTGGCAGGGCATTCCTCCCTGTTCTCTCTCTCTTCTTTTGGGTACTCACAATCAACATTTCAAAAAAAAAAAAAAGAGATCAAGGAAATGGTGTGTTTTTCACCTAAATAACTCTCGCTAAACATGGCACAATTTTTACACTTGTGAACATATGCGGACACTACAGGTACATATAGCTTTGCGCATACTACAAATAACCTGTTTAAAAACTGTCAACAGAACGATGCTTACAAGGACTAGCAAATCTATATTTAGTATCAAGAATGTCTGACCTATTAATTACATATGGATTTATTGATAAGCTTAAATAAGGATATTATTGCACATGCCACCGAGACTTTCAGATACAAATATTTGCTCAGACTCACAGTTCAATGGCTTTATTCCACATAATGACGTAGCCTGAGAGTGTGAAGGACTCCACATTGACAATATGTATATTGCCTCGTTCCGTGCCCACATAGAGCCACTTACTCTGGAAAGGCAGATGGCAAAATGTAACCCTGCAAGAGAAAATATTTCCAGAAGAACATGTGAGTAATGTCTAGTAAACCTTAGAATTAGAGAGTTATAGTTATGATTATGTGTATAATATATATAATTTAGGAAAAGCAAAAATGACATACAATCAGATATATGTGCTCACACAACATGCTTGAGAGAAGGTGGATTTTCAAGTTACTATGTGTTTCAAGCCTGGCCGTGAGCAAATTTAGTCTCCAAGCCACAAACTATGCTCACATTATCCCGCTCTATTTCTATTTTATTGTAACCACTCTATTTCTCAGTCATGATTTTATATACTAACCTTTAATTCAGTTCCTGCGCTTACTATTTCTCCCAGGAAAAAAAAAAACAGTTCCTTCTGCTCTTAATCTCCTTTCAAAGTTCAGTACCACTTAATTCAAATTAAAATCCAATACTTTGTATCTTCATCAGGTATGCCTTGTGAGAACCACCTTCCTCACCAACTTTCACATCTTTGAAAAGACAGCACTCCCTTAAACTAAGGCTTTAAACTCAGAATTTTGTCGGCAAATTGTAATTTACAAATTGTAATGTACATCTCTTCAATTTTACTGTCATCTCACTTGATTTCAAGCTAAAAAATATGGAACATCCTATCCTTTTGCTAGCTAAAAAAAAAAAAGAAACACTTGGGTAAGCAAGTTAGTACAACAGATAGGGTGCTTGCCTTACATGTGACTAACTCAAGGTCGAGATCCTTGTTGGCCCATATGGTCACTGAGCACTGAGAAATTTCTGACTACAGAGCCAAGTGGAACCACTGAGCATGGCCCAACCGCACCCCCCCCCCCCGACTCAAAACTACTATATTATTATAAAGTCACCTAATACTTCTTTTTTTAAAACCCACCATAGGGGCTGGAGCAATAGCACAGCGGGTAGGGCATTTGCCTTGCACGCGGCCAACCCGGGTTCGATTCCCAGCATCCCATGTGGTCCCCTGAGCACCGCCAGGAGTAATTCCTGAGTGCATGAGCCAGGAGTAGCCCCTGTGCATTGCCAGGTGTGACGCAAAAACAAAACAAAAAAACACCATATCTCTTAGTTTCAACGAAGTAGCAGTGGAAATAATACATGATGGCAATCGTCTCTGCTGAACTGTCAATGCTGATAACAAGAACTGAGCAAGATACAGAATTTGGAACAACTGCTCGTCCCATTAACAACCTCAATTACAGAGAATTTTCAAGATGAAAACACTTATCAAATAACTGCACGCACAATTCATGCTCTCACTATTTCCTTGGGGAAATGTCCATTTAGACGATTAGTTAAGGTTCATCACCTCTGTTTCCAAGCCATTTTATACGGCAAAACAACCATTCTAACAACATTTAAATGTACTTCACATTTTCTTCTTTGCAGCAGTGAAAGGAAATGAACCCAGGGCCTCTGCATTTGCCTTCCTTCTGAGAGGCATGCCCAGCCCTCTCTAAGTATGTATAACAGAGAATAGAAATATCTATCGAATCAACGGAATAGTTTATTGAACCCTATTATTTCACAATGGCATATTTGATATGCCAATAACAGTAACAATAATGGGTCTCATTCCCCTGACCCTGAAAGAACCTCCAATACGGAAGCGTTAGGAAAGATGAGTAAGGAGAGGCTGCTAAAATCTCAGGGTTGGGACGAATGGAGACATTACTGGCGCCTCTAGAGTAAATCGATGAACAACAGGATGACAGTGATACAGTGAGACAGTGATTATTTCACAAAGACAGTAAGTTAAATGTGCCTTTTTGAAGACAAAGCAATAGAAATGCAGATGTCAGAATGTCCCTAAAATTAGAGAGTCACAAGATAAATATTTTTTTATTTCCTAAAGAGGCTCTACCTTTCAAAAACACTGAATTTTTTAAAACAATAGACAATTTCTGTTTTATTGCTGGTTATGAATAACATATGATGTCGCATGGCTGCAGTAGGGTCATGTAGTTTTGAAATTCCGAAATTTTAACACTTAAATCTGGAGGGATTTCTGCCAAAAGCCACTGGGTTTTGAGATCTGCTCCTGAGTCTTTGGGATCGTGGCCATTGAGCAGCTTGATGAAGAGCCAGAGAGGCCGTTCGTGGGTGATGACTTGGGGTCTCGTTGGGGTGGGGAGGACAGGCCCAGCTCCACCCCATCCAACACTGAATTATTTTTTAGGTATAAATTCTGACAGTTTCTTTTTTTCAACTAATATGTTATTGCCATTTAGCATTATGTTAACTTCAGGAGCACCACATATTTATATAAGCCAAGTTAATCTCCATAAATCACAGTTGAAATATTTTTTTTCTGGTAATGAAGACTTTACGAACCATTCTTCGCTAAAAAGTAGCTAAACTTTGCATACAGAATTAAATATAAGTGTACTTTCAAATATAGAGAATTATTAATTATTAACTTTAGTTTCTCAAAAGAGCTTAATAGCACCATGATCAAGTTATTACATTCACCTAAATATTTACCCAAAGAAAAGAAAACCATATGCCAATAGAACTCCTGCACACAAATGTTTAAAGCAGCTTTCTAATAGCCAAAAACTGAAAACAGTCCAAATGCCCATCAAATGAATAAAGAAATTGTGTTGTAAAATTGTGTTGTAAAAACTTGTAAAAAGGAATAAACACACAATAGTATCAATGGACATCCAAGTGAAAAAGCTATGCAACAAAAGGCTTATTATAAGATTTATGCCATTTATGTACAATTTACATGCAATGGTAAATGCAAACAAGTCTATTCCAATGGAAAGATCAATAGTTGCCTAGCTATGGTGGAGTTAGGGCGAGTAACTAGAGAGGGGAGGGATTACCAGAAGGAAGCACTCTGGGGCATGGTTAGGTTAGTAGTTACCTTGGTCATGTTTCAAAGGTCCACACGTGTGTCACATCTTGCCAGGTCCTACACTTTAACCAGGCACCCTTTATCCCATGGCAATTGTGCCTCCGACATTTTTATAATTTCTTGCTCTCAGGTATTTGTGAATTCAATGATTATGAAAGCAAACTGTCATTCTAGTTATCAGATAGGCACAAGGTCTGAAGTGCAGGAGACAGCCTGGAGTGCTTCGCAGCTGTCACTCAGCCGCACACTCCCTTGTGTAAACCACTCAATCTCTCACGGTCTCAGTTTCTAAGCAGTAAAGCACACCTACCTTACAAGGGTCACCTGAAGAGCAAATAAGACAAAACATGGAACGCTTAAAATAAGCCTGACACAGCTAAGTGTTCGATACACGTTAACTGCGTATTATTAAAACTGAGTTGCCCTCTACCAATTGGAAGTTTGAGGGGAAACTCAACTGCATGGAAATTAGCAAGAAAATGCAATTGAATACACAAAAGAACACTGTCTTAGCCATCATAAAAACTTTCTTCTGAAATGTGCCTTACACTTAAAACAGAAACATAATAAAATATTTTGAAAATTCAAAAATACATCAGAGCAAGTAAAAATGATACAAGGCGGGCCAAAAAAGAAAAAAAATCAGGAATACTAACTTCCTGATCTGTCCAACTATTTTGCATTTCTCCATTATTCTTCACTCTACCAAAGCAAAGACATAACTACTTTCTGAATTTATTTACATTAACCTTCTTTGACTTAACAATAACAAAATTGTCCAAATGGTATGTCCTTATTTAAATGGATCTCTTCAAAGTCCTTAAAATTTAAACAAAAAAAATAAATGTAGCTCCTAAGGATAGGAAGTCGGGATATATCACACAGTATTTTCTGTTTCTAGCATAGCAACAGCATACCACAGCTGTTTCTGAAATATTTAAAAGAAATGGAAACTTAAATCTCCAGTTAAAAAAAATTAGAATTTCCTGAACTCACATTCTCAATATTCGTACCATTCGAGAACTTTTTTCAGTCAATTATGAAAACAACTTACACTGTTGGGAAAACATGATTATTTCATATATACATATGCATTTTCTAAAAATTTTTGAAGAAAAAACTAAGACTTCTAACATCTAAAATATTCATTAATCTTGGCACCAAGACATTAATATCATTTGTAGAATAAAATGAAAACAATTGCAAATCACAGAAGTGTATTCTTATACAGTACCACCAAACTTATAATTTCTACTACAATTAATATAAGAACTCTTCAGACTAGAAAAAAATTATAACTCTTAACATATAAAAGTGTAAAAAAAAATCCACAACTAAATAAAATAACAACATGGCAGAAAAACGTCATTTTTGAAAATGTGGATCCCTTGAGGCGGAGCAATAGTACAGCGGGTAGGGCATTTGCCTCGTTCACAGCCAACCTGGGTTCAATCCCTGGTATCCCATACAGTACCCTGAGCACCACCAGGAGTAATTACTGAGTGCAGAACTTGGAGTAACCCCTGAGCATAGTTGGGTGTGACCAAAGGGAAAAAAATCAAAAAACAAAATATGGATCCCTAAAACATACTACTTGAAAAGAAACGCAACATTTCCTACTTATAGACAAGTTGAATCTATCATTAATTATAACTAAAATGTAAAATTGTTAGGTCTAAAAAACTGCACCCTCCTCAGCATATTTAGCAGTGTTTTTTTTAATATATATTTATTTCAATATAGGGAGACTTAAATTTCCTCTTCCTCAAAAAAAAAAATACCTTGGCTATCTCTTGTTGGAAATTTAAAGAATAAAACTATGCAAGTTGTGATATAATTATTAAACTGATAGAAAAATTATGCTGACTACTTAAATGGATTACTACAAGAGTAAATAAAAGTTATATAATGTGTATACACACACACACACACACACACATATATACTACATAGAGATTGAGATACTATTATACAATGACCAACAGAGTGAGCCACATTAGAAGTCCATTCATTTTCAGTAAACGTTATGACAATGAATAAATTTGAAAACCTTATTTAAAAGTTCAGATCCATGATTATGAAAAATATATTGATAGTAAGTAGAAAGTCTCAACAATAAAAACATATAGCCAATCA